TCTGACCTCCGTCCTTCCCTTCAGTCTTCTATCTGACCTCCGTCCTTCCCTTCAGTCTTCTATCTGACCTCCGTCCTTCCCTTCAGTCTTCTATCTGACCTCCGTCCTTCCCTTCAGTCTTCTATCTGACCTCCGTCCTCCCCTTCAGTCTTCTATCTGACCTCCGTCCTTCCCTTCAGTCTTCTATCTGACCATTTCCTGGTTGGAGAACGTCCAGCATCATCTAAGCGCTTTCCTCCCCAGCCTGACTGTCGCTGGCCCCGCCCCTTTACAACATTGGATTTCAGTTCTGTCAATCATCGAGGTTCAGCATCACATGTGGGCGTTACCTAGGGGGCGTGGTCTGCATGCTTAGCACCTCCCCCAGACTGATCACTAGACATGTGAATGATATAAAATACACAGTTTTTCCTCTGTTTCGTGGCAGGATAAGTTCTACAACCCCAGCATCCCCTCGCTAGGTCTGCGGAATGTCATCTACATCAACGAGACGCACACGAGGTGAGCGATTTATTCCCTGGTTATCCCCGAAAAAACCTTTCTATTCCCTTTTTTACGTTTTGTCAAATCCCAAATGGTTTTAGGGGAATCCTCAGAGCCGGGAACGCCATAGCGATTTATGCGCGCAGGATACTTCTGTCCAATCACAGGCTGGGGGAGGGGCAAGACCTGTCAGTGTAACTGAACTGCAGTAGACAAAAATCAGGTCTGTGCGGTGGGGGCAGAGCTTTGTAAATCTCAAGACTGGATGGGCAGAAATGCAAATCATGTGACACGGTAAACAGATATATATATATATGTACTGTATGTAGAGTCTTACATGGAGGTCTCACAACATACATGAAGGATGGCTGATTTATCATTATAATCACTCGTTTGGCTTCCTGTTCCTGAACGATGGTTGTCCTTGCTCCGCCCCTTCTTACACTGCAGGTCTGGGAGTCAGCCAACTCATTAAAGGAGAACTATGGGGTCAGGGCTTTCCCCCATAGTTCTCGTTAGGGTAACAGGAGGACACAAACTAGCGTCCTCCCGGCACCCTAGGCTCAGTATATAGGGAGCTACAGCTCGCGGTATACTGAGACTCCGCAGCCGGAGCGGATCCCGACATCAATGTCGAGATCCACCCAGCTGCGTGAGTGGCAGCTGTGCCCGCCTCTTCCCCCGTCCGTTCCGCCAGTCAGCGCTGGTGGATCGGATCGGGGGGGGGGGATCCACCCCCCCCACACTCAC